CTCCTCCTAGAAGCTGTGGTGTGGTCCCTCTGAACGCCAAAGGACCACGGGAATCATTTAGAAAAATAAAAAGCAAGACCTTTGCCCTCGTCCTGTGCACAGGTAAGGGGGTTGATCAGGAATTTTCTTTCCCTCACTCAGGGCTGCTGGTAGGTCATCCAGCTCTCTGGTGACCTGGGGACACATTAGCCTGTGGTAAGTGGGGCTTCCCAATGCCTTTTATCCTGTTTACAATACACTGGCTTTCCTTAGACGGGTCCCTTCTCTCTCTGCCTTGCTTCTGGCTGTTATGGCTATGTGAGACTATTTGGGGAAAGACTCTTCAGAGAGGGCAGTTTCCTTGGAGACTGAGTTCCACCTCTACAGCACCTGGGGCAACATCTCCTCCACCTGGTGGGTCCTAGGTTGGGGAGAGGATGAATGTTTTTCTCAGCTCGCTGCAGTCTCTGAATTCAGATCTGTCAACCCCGCTGTCTGCTCAGCTTCAATCCAAGGGGTCAGAGCAAACCCAGAGGTGGCCAGGCAATGTCTCTCTGGCTTAGGTAGGGGGTGATGAAAGCTATTGTCTAAAGCAGACCCGATCCAGAGGTGTCCTGTTTATCTGTGACAAGCACTTTGAGTCAATAAGGCAGGAGGATGATACAGCGGCTGCCTGGAGGGTGGCATGTGACTCTAGTCTGGTCCTTGTACTCTTCCACCTTTAGTCAGCTCGGGCCATCAGGCTAAGTTCTCTGCAGCTCAGTGTCTCTGTGACGACAAGCAGGGTGGTGATGCTGGTCCTGCCTCCCAGCAGGGGATGAGGGCACGGAATGAGAAGTGACTATGACTGTGTTTAAAGTCAAAGGAGGCATTTATCCAGCACTGCACCCTGTTAAGTTTTGACTTTGCATAGAGGATGGCTCTCCTACTGTGGATTGAGTTTTGTTGTTGATTTTGTTTTATGCTTCTGCAGTGCTGGGACAGAGGCCAGAGCCTTGTGATGTGGGCAGTTTTTAATCACCTAAAAACCAATTTTCAAGTAATTCAGTTTCTGTAACACAGAGCCATGAAAAATACTTGGGAGAATGAGTTATTACATGAAATCCATTTAAGATGACTGTTTTGGTGATACTGGGGATTGAATCTAGGACTTCCTAGGCAAATATTCTACCACTGTGCTACATCCCCACCCCAGGAGGCTGATATTTAATGAGCACTGCCTCTTATTAGGCTCTGAGCTATGCAGAGACATAGATGCATCTCCTTCCCTGAGGATGGTGGACAGAGAATTGAGACACCTTTTCTGAGAGCCAAGAGGAAGTACAAGGTGCAAGGGGAAATAACACGGGTTAGTGAGCATCCACAGCCTGGGCCTCTAAGGTGCTCCCCAGGGGAGTGACGTCACAGCTGGGGCTTGAAGAATAAGTGGGGACTGTTCAGGCCTGAGGCAGAGGGAAATGTGTCAGAGGCACAGGGAACAGTAGATGCAAAAGCCAGAAGACACAGAGGCCCTTGTGAAGAGAGCTGAGGTTACTACATTTGGGATGGGAGCACGGCCAGAGAGGATACCCCTACTTTACCCCCCACTTGCCTGGATACTCTGGCCTGCCTCACTACACATCATCCATGTACTTCAAGGTCCTGCTGAAATCCTATCTCTCTGAACAGCCTCCCCCATCACGGTTCAAGAACATCTCTTCCCTACCTGTATCTTCTCACTACCTCTCCCTTTGTAGTACTGGATAGAGTCTAGGGCCTATGCATGCAAGTCAGGCAGATGCTCTACCACTGAGCTGCATCCTCAGCCCCTACCCCCATGGCAAATTTATATGCTATCACGCATTGTTGGTTTTTCATATGTCCTGACTAGATAAGGAACTCCTTCAGGTCAAATAACTGCTTTGCTACATAACAAAAGGGTCTTAAGCCAGACATGACAACTCACATTTAATCCCAGCATGTAGGAGACTGAGGCAGGAAGATGGAGAGTTAGAGGCCATCCTGAGCACTGAGACACTGTCTCAATGCCTCTCCCCAGGATTCAGTAGCTTAAACATCATCCATTCTACCGTGTCCCTCAGTGTCACAGGACAGGAACTTGGGCCTCTACAGCTTTTCACTACGTGCTGGAAGCCCTCCAGCAGTGGCCATGTCTATTTCCATTTGATATTATTACTTTCTAAGGCCAATTGGCCTTTGCAGTCAATCTCCTCTATTCCTCCCCCCTCCCCCCTGGTTTTTCGAGACAGGATTTCTCTGTGTAGTTTTGGTGCCTGTCCTGGATCTCACTCTGTAGACCAGGCTGGCCTCGAACTCACAGATATCCACCTGGCTCTGCCTCCCAAGTGCTGGGATTAAAGGCGTGCACCACTGCCACCCGGCTTGCTCCTTATGATCAATGTGATACCTTCACGAGCTATGGGGTCAGTCTCAAGCTGCATCAGGTATGAGTCAGATATTTCTTAAATGAATAGGACTTCTCTTCCAGAGCCACCCTAACCAATCTTCCCCCTGCCTCTACCAACGGGTTTCAGTGTGTGGAAGCCAGGATGCGGTAAACGCTGGGGGAAAAAAAAATCACATTCTAGGAATGCAGTGGAAACTACACTGTTGTACACTAATCCTACAAAATTCCTAATTAAATTTGATGTGTTTGTGAATATTTCTTATGGCAAATTTTAGATTGCCAACGTGATTGCATTAAGAAACATTCAAGGGAGCCGGAGAGATGTCTTAGCACTTAATACTACTTGTTGCTCTTCTAGAGGACCCAAGTTCAGTTCCCAGCACCCCTATCAGATGACTCAACCACCAGTAACCAGTAATCCAATTCCAGGGGATCCAATGCACTCTTCTGGTCTCTTCAGGCATCTGCACTCACAAGCACATAGCCAGGCACACACATATAAATGAGAAAGATGAAACTCCGAGGACACAAGTGAGGCACCCCTTTGGGTATGTCTGTGAGGGTATTTCCAGAAAGGACTGACGAAGAGGAGAATACTCCCTGTGAATATGAGTGTCACGGTCCCATGGGTTGAGATCCCAAACTAAATAAGAGAAAAAAGGAGAAAGCCAACAGAGTGTTAGCCTTCTCCTTTCTTTGTTTTCTGGTCTGCTAAGATGTAGCAAGTAGCTGCCTCCCATTCCCAGCACCATGAAGCTGCCTGCCCCCATGACTTTCCTGCCAGGATGGATAGCACCTCGTCACACTGTGAACCCAAATCAGCCCTCCCTCTCCTAAGTAGTAGCTTCTTGTCGGGTGTGAGTCACAGCAATGAGAGAAGAAACTAGCAAGCACAGGACTCTAGGCAACACCTGCAACTCCTGCTGTCACTAGCAAAGCACAGGAGTGAACGGAGTCAGTAATCACCAGCAGAGGGGGGACGACGCGGCATCATGACATCGTAGCCAGCACTAAGCAAATGGCATGAGGAACTGGAAAGTCAAGAAGAGCTACCGAGACCAATGTAGACAGAAGAGCCATGACATTACAAATAACAGCTTTGTTCTTTTCTTTTTTTTTTTTCATGGTGGCCAGAAATAGCACATTCAAAAATAAAGGACAAGAACAGATAGAGTTATCAGGCCCAAATAGGGACTTGTGATGTATAAATACTGCAAGGAGTCTTTGCTGTATTTATTACAAAATAAATGAATATGGAAGCCCCTTTTTTCTGTTATTTATTCATACTGTTCTTCATAGGGGGTCATGAATTTTGTAATACAACTTAAAATCAAAATGCCTCTACAGCAAGGCCCACAAAAATATTTACCTGGGGTCCCACACAACCCAAGAACAACTCTACCAATACATACAAGTACAACACATACTTCACTGCACATTCCTCACCAGTGAAGTACTAAAAATCTAATAAAGTAGCCCTTTATCTAATCCTCCCCAATCACACTGTCCATTCAACCATAGTTGAAATGCAGTCCGCCCCCCATCAAACCCTCTACTGATTCTTGAAGACCCTATACCCATGCTTCTGGATCCATGAACCCCTCTTGCTCCTCTCCAGGGAAATGGTCCTTCTATCAGTGATAGCCTAAATGTTGATTGCTAATTTAGATTCAAGGTATGAACCTTCTCAACAGACAGCAAGGAGAGAAACTTCAGTAATGTGTTTTGCTTGCTTTCCTATCCCACATTATCTGTGCATGGTACATAGTGGATGTTCAGTAAATGTGAGAGGAAGTGGGAAATTTAATGTTAGGGAAAGAACGAATATGGGCAGGCAGTCTCTTGGGACTCAAAACTGGGAGGGATGCAGGATACAGGAAAATAGAAGGTTCAACTCACCAAAGGAAGAGGAACAACTCCTCCCTTGGGAGGAACTATAGATAAGAACCTAGATGGATGGAAATGAGATGGGCCTAGGTGAAGACAAGTGTTTGAACCCTTCCAAATCCTAATCCAAAATGTCACCCGCCCTTCATGTCTTTTAAAAATTCCCCTTTGACGACAACCCCAGTTTTCAGTTCATAATCTTTGCATTAATTGGGATTTTCTACCTTTTGGAATTGTTTATTTGCACACAGATCGTATTTCCTTTTCTAGTCCAACCTCTCGAAGAACAGGAGGAATTTGGTTGTTCCACGTCACACAGGACAAATGCTAACTACTGTCTCACTGTGGGTTTAACGGAAATCAACAGAAGGAGATGGGAAGACTAGTGGGCGGACAAGTTCGAGAGAGGAAAAGCATTCGCGTTGAGGAGCGAAATCCCCTGACCCGTAATTACACACTTTAAGGCGAAGTCAAGCCGGAGAACGCACTGAAGAGAGCTGTAGAGACAGTCGCCTGCGACTTCTTGCTGAGGCTCTGACGTCAGTACCTCGCGACCGTCCTCGCCGATACCTGATTCAAACCTGAAGCTGGGCTTCAGCAAAAGCCTCCCCGCTTGTCTCCCGGCTGGGCCAAGCCTCGAGCCACACCCATCGCCCCGCGTACTGCTTTCCTGTCTCTCAACCCCTTCTCCGACCTCACAACCACCGCGGGCCAGGCGCCATCGCGGGCGCCCTACTCAGAAGGGCGGGTCCTGAGACCGGAAGTCGGAAGCCGGAAGTGGGGCTGTGAGGACGTGTTCCGAGGAAGCCGCAGGCCGGCTCGGCCGGCGTCATGGAGCCGCTGTACCAACAAACGCACAAGTGAGGGCTGCGTCGGGGAGCGGGCTGGGCTCGGCCCGGGCGGCGGCCCCTGGGGCTCGGGGCTTTGGCGACTGCCATTGTGGAGGTGGAGCGTTTCCGCCGGGGCTGCTTCGCACCTCTCAGCCCCTCGCGGGCTGTCCGCCGCGGGAGGGGGCCGGTCTGGGCGCGAAGTCTTGGGCCGGGTAGCTCCTGCTGCAAGCCGTGACTGCCTGTTGGGAAGGACAAGGAGCATCCCCCAGGTTATAGTACTTTGTCCAGCGCCTGGCAGCTTAGTCCTCCGGGTTGGTAGAGCTTCGGGAACAGAGAAGCCGTTGACGAAGCTTGTGCCCCATTAGTTCATTGCTTAGTGGGGGTGTCAGAGTTGTATGAAAAAAAGTGTTTTGTGTTCTTGGTTGGATAGTAAAGAACGTATTTTTGTGACACAAAGAAATGCAGGCAATATAGACTATTAGTGTTAGTCATACTTGATTACAAGTTAGCTTTAGGGAAATTGAAGTTTAGGTTAGCTTCTCATAACTAAATTAGTTGCCTTTATTCATACTGTCCTGTGTTTTGGCAGCTTGCTGTGTTATGTAGCTGGGCATATGGTAAGGAGCCATACCTATGCTAATTTAAGGACTTTCTGTTGATCTTTCGACAACACTGAAAATCATACTCCTTGGGTCTGAAAATGAAATAAACTAGTCATCTGGCCTCCCTAGTAAACTCATAACAAAAGGAATGGTGGCTATTTTCTTTCTGATATTCTAAGTTAATGGTTTTCTTTTTACTTTGGCAACGAAGTGTTTGATTTGGGAGAGGGAAAATAAGGAAACTAATTTATAATGACAGTTTGCTTATTATATAAAAAAAGTGTAGGAAGAGCTCAAAAAAAACACCAAAAAACAAAAAACTAGCCAGTGAGTCACTTGGAAAAGGAATGAAACAGAAAATCACACTCACATTACTAAGAACAGACCCTTTACCTAGCAGGGCACATGGGCCTAACAGTGCATTGAGGTTAGTATGCTAGTTGCTGAATTGACGAAACATAACACATCAGAACACACTCATCTCTCTAGAACTTTGAACCTAATCTGTGATTATCTCTTACTGTGAAAGTACACTGACTTTAAATCAATTATTTAAAGTCATATACGTGAAAAAGTCCTGAGCACCAAATGAATGGGAAAAAAATGAAGTGAATGAAAAACATATGAAAAACAAGACATTTTATACTTCAGTAATAGTCCACTAAGGTGAACTTTAGAGAGAAGCAAATAGCCAGGCTTCCGTTTTTTGAGATTCTTGTGTTTGCAAAGGTGGTTTTCATTTGTTCCTTGTGTTGTCCAGTCTGTCATTCTGGATCTCAGCTCTAGAAGTGCAGGTTAAGTAGGTCTTAGGTACAAAGAGCTTTTTAGTGAAGAGGCTTTCCAGGTGGTTTTAATGAGTAGTTAGTATTAAGAACTATTATCTCAAGACCAGTTTGTCAGTTAGCCTTATGAGGTAAAGACTAGCTACAGACGTTGAGTGGAAGACGTGAAAATCACCAGGTGGTTGCCACTGCCACTGCGTGCGTGCATATGTGCGTGCGTGTGTGTGTGTGTGTGTGTGTGTGTGTGTGTGTGTGTGTGTGTGTGTGTTCAAGACAGGATTTCCCTGTATAGTTGAGATTTGCCTATAACTTGCTGTGTGACTCAGGCTGGCTTCGAACTTACAGTCTACCTGCCTCTTGGTCCCAAGTGCTAAGATGACAGGTAAGCACCACCACACCCCGGTTAATCCACTACTTATTTATTTATTTGTGTGTTTGAGATAAAGTAAGTCTCACTGTGTATCCCTAGCTGACCTAGAACTCACTATGAAAATCAGACTGGCTTGGAACTCACAAAGATCTGTCTCTTGAGTGTTGGGATTAAAGATGTGCACCACCACACTCATTCCTTTAAAAATAACAGCAGTTTAACTGGGTGCTGTTTTGGTTACACAGCATTTTCATACTGCATTGGATTCTGTAATCTTTCAAATGATTGTTACCATTAGCAGCTCAGTTGTGCAGTTGAGACAGGCACCCTTGAGTTAAGTGACTTGTGGAGTGACTGTCAGCTTGCGTCGGTGAACTAGATTTGCAACTGAGGTCCTTTAACTCCCAAGCCCTGTCTTGCTCATGGTGGTCAGAGGCAGTCAGCACACAAAGTGACTGTGTATGGTGGAGGTGGGTGGGTAGTTTTATGATCTTTCTGCCCCACTCTTATGTTATCCAGGCTATTCTCTAATTCAGGATCCTCCTGCTAGGATTACAGACGTTACCACCACCGGGCCCAAACAGATTCATTGGCTTCTTTTTTTAAATGATTTATTTTTATTTTATGTGCATTGGCATTTTGCCTGTATGTATGTTTGTGTGAGGGTGTCAGATCCCCTGTAACTGAAGTTATGGATAGTTGTGAGCTGCCCTATGGGTGCTCCGTACTGAACCTGGGTCCTCTGGAAGAGCAGACAGTGCTCTTAACTCTAAGCCATTTCTCCAGCCCCGATTCATGGACTTCTTTAAAGAGCAGTTTCACTTAAAATTCTTGCTACAACATCTGTAAAGCTTTTTTTTGAAAAAAGTAAACAACAGCAATACCTCTTGCTTAATGTGTATTAACTCTTTGCTTAGCTATATTATCACCCAAGTTCATGGTGGACCCCATGCTAGAAAAGCCCGAGACTTCTTTTTCTCTGTGTCTACACCCCAGATCCTATTTAGGTATCACATGTCACTTGGCTGTGCAGGTGTTGTCTGGTGCGAGTTGAATGGAAACAGATTCTCCAGGTGCTGTAGTAGTAGCTGCCACCATGCCGGTCACACCTGCCTTGTTGTCTGCATTTATTTCCTAGCATGGAATCTAGAGACTGGACTTACTTTATTGGTTATATCTTTTCTAATTCATTTAGAGCCAAACAGAACTTATAAATAGAATTTAGATGGGGAAAGGCAGTAATGTTTCTCTGAAATTTCTTAAAATTATCCTTTTTAGCTTAGTATAACAAAACTGGCCAAAGAGTGTTTGGGGGGTATTATTATTGTCTCGCCTGTTCTTGAGAATCTCAAGACTTGAAAGGGACTGACAAGAGCTTCCATTCCAATTCTCTCTTTGGTCATGAAGACCCTTGTAAGACCCTAGACAGTCAGGGACCTAGTGTTGCACAGGTAGAGGCACTTTCCTTTTCTTTTTTTTTTTTTCAAGAAGACAACTCATAGTTTTGTAATTTGTTTTCTGTGTAAAGCTGAAATGTGGTGTCTTGGAACATGTACCTTTTGCTTTGGGGACTCCCTTAAGCAGAAGTAGGAGACAAACTCTTTTCTACTTCTTACGTCCATTCCAGTTATTGAAGAGCATCCTTTGGCATCCTTGTTTAATGACCAATCTCACTTTGTACTGTCTTCAGGCTCCATTTATCATAGATACCATAGAAGAAAACAACACATCTTTAAATCAGCCAAGATTTACAGTTACAGCCCTCATTGTGTTCTTTCCCACTGTAGATGGCCCATGGTTTCATTTCTTGATTTCCTATGGACCATTATAATTGTATAGCCTATTGTTTGTTGAATGTGTGAATGAATGAATAAGTAATGAGTTTCATTAAATTATTGACATCTGGGAAAAAACTTATTTTTCTTAGTTATTTTATTTATGAAATATTGCAAACACATAAAAATAAAGAGTACCATCATTCAGTGTTAGGATTCAAATTAATATATGTGCTTCAGATAATTGATTTATAAACAAGCTGAATCAAAAGCGCCTACATCTGTTCTCACCCTCAGAGCTTGCCACCCTCACATCAGTGATTTTATTCTTTTTCTTATGTTCACGAACAGCATATGCTACTTCTTTTATGTGGCTTTTAATTTACCAAAAACAGATACTTAATATACTAGGTTTCCTTTTTGTTGTTGTTGTTTTTTGAGGCAGGGTTTCTTTGTGTAGTTTTTGGTCCCTGTCCTAGATCTCTCTCTGTAGACCAGGCTGACCAGGCTGGCCTCAAACTCACAGACATCTGCCTGGCTCTGCCTCCTGAGTGCTGGGATTAAAGGCATGTGCCACCGCCGCCTGGCTCCTTTTTCCTTTTACAATCATCTTATCTTAAAGACTTATTGTCCATACTGATATGACTAGATCAAGCTCTTATTTATTAGCATTTAAATTTATTTAGTGTGTGTGTAGGTGCAAACAAACCAAAGAGTGGAGGTCAGAGGACAGCTTGCAGGAATTGGTTATTTTCTTCCACCATATGGGTTTTGGGGATCAAACTCAGGTCATCAGGCTTGGCAGCATGCCCTTTCACCCACTGAGCTGTTTTGCCAACCCTGCTAGCTTTTATAAATCTGCTGAACTTAATCTGAGTTCTTTCTTGATGAACACTTCAGTGGTTATTATATTATTAACAGTATTATTTGCATATGTCTCACTGAATAGATCTACAGTCCTTTATTTGAAACCCTTAAACTTTGAACATTTTTTTTTAGATTTTCAGAAAGAATTATGTTTCATGAACTGAGCTTGGTGGTGCACAACTTCAGTCCCAGCACTAGGGAGACAGAAAGGTGGGGATCCCTGAATTTGAGGCCAGCCTGGTGTACAGAGTTCTAGGACAGTCAGAGCTACATAATAAAGTGACCTGTCTTTGGAGAGAGAGAGGGAGAGAGAGAGAGAGAGAGAGAGAGGGAGATTTCATGTATCTTTTGTCATTCAACATTTCCAACATAAGGGGAGCACACGACACATGAAAGGGGCAATAAAATGTCACACTGTATGTAATAAATGAAGACTCATCAATTTTTACCTCATAATTGGTTTGCTACAAACTTACAAGTTTTTATTATAGATATGGCTGTGGGTTATAAATCTGTACAAAAATGCTTTGATGAACATCTATTACAAGTCTTTGATATAAGCCAGAATCTCTGTAAGCCTTACTGCTAAAAGTGTGGTGCTGGGTCATGCAGTGTGTGTGATGCTACCAGGTGTTCTCAGAAAGCCATTGAAGGATTTCACCAGTTTAGAATTCCTCCTGTGTCCATGTTCTCAAGTTCCTGATGGGAGGCATATGATCTCATTGGTTTTAACATGTGTTTTTCTGAGCTATTATCGAAGTTGATCAACTTTTATGTATCTGTTTACTCTCTTTGTTTCCTTTTCTGTTGTTTGCCCTTTGGTCTTTTTTTTTTTGAAGGGGAGGGGGACTCAATGATAGTGTTTCTCTGTGTAGCCCTGGCTGTTCTGGAACTTGCTCTGTAGACCAGAGTGGCCTTGAACTCAGAGATCTGCCTGCTTCTGCCTCCTGAGTGCTGGGATCAAAGGTGTGCACCACCACTGTCCATCTCTTTGGCCATTTAAAAAATTGCTCTGTTGGACTTTTCCTATTGATTTGCAGGGGTTCTTTACATATTTTGGACGTCAATCCTTTTATTATCTGCTACAGATGTATTTGCTTATTTATTGATATATTGAGTCAGCTTCCATATACTTCTTGAGAATTGGGTTGGTTAAGTTTTTTGCTGTTTTTTTTTTCTTTTTCTTTTTTTTTCTCTCTCTCTCTCTCTTTTTTTTTTTTTTGTTGTTGTTCCTGTGGATAATGACACCAACTTTCTGATTTGCTTTAAGTCACCATTACAAATTTACCTCATTGCCTGTGTCCTACTACTGCTAACAGGAATCCTAATTTTCCTGCCCATCAACCCATCAGCCCCTGCTATTGTCCTCACCCTCGTGTTCCATGCATCAGTTACCTCCATCTGCATCCTTGCATCAGCCTCTGTATCTCCACTGCCTCTGCCCTGCCCGACCTGTTCCAAAGCACCCTGTATTTCCCTTCCTGAAGCAGCTGACAGGTTGCTTCTCGGGGTCACAAGGCTTGCCTTGGAGCATTCAGGAAGTCTTAGACAGCTGGATTGGGTTCTGGTGCCATAGGAGTTACAAGAAAGCCCTGGAAAAGACTAGAGACACACTGAAACAAGATCGGGGTCCCTGGCTGGCCCTGGTAAAATTCGAGGTCATAGTATACAATGTGCACAGTGGAGAACAATTGTGCTTTCCCTTAAGGACTGGCGATGAGGCCTCCTTCACGCAGGCTCTGTGCAAAGAGCCTGTGTAAGCACTGGGGCTAACTTAAGCTGCGTTCCAAGAGCTGACGAGTGATGGGGAACCACTAGGAAGGGTTTGAAGGTGACTGGCCTGGAAAGTCTCCAAAGAGTGCTCTGGGCCTAATGTCTGGGACCTGTTGCATTTCCAGAGGAGATGGCAGTCCCTCCTGTTGTCAGGGAAAGATGTTTACCAAACAGGAGATAGCTATCTTTCAGAGCTACTCTTAAGTGGGCCTTCCACAGCCTACTCCCCTCTACTCGCTCTTTCTCCAAGTGTCCTTCAAGCACTCCACATGAAATGCCCTGCATGCCTTCTGCATAGCATTTTCTGTGGTGGCATTCACAACTGTAATCCCAGAATTGTGGAGGCTGAGGCAGGAGGATCACAAGTTCAAGGTGAGCCTCAGCTGCATGAATGAGATCTTGTCTCAAAAACAAGCAAACACAACTCCTTCCACTCACAAAATGCCTTTGTTCCACTTTCTTAGCCTCAGCCTTCCTATCTCCTTTGCCCCACTCTACACAACTCTTCCCTCAGCTTTCTGTTTGTTTCTGCTTGTGTGTGTTGCTTCTCGTAAACCTCAGGGACTTTTCATGTCCATCTGTCCTGCCAGTTCCTAATTACATTGTTTCTCAGGGGCAAGGATTGTATCTCCCTTGCCCTTTGACCCTTGGTAGACAGACCAGTGCTCAGCACATCGGGTCACAGAACAGGGAGTGGGATTGGCTGGATCCTGGTTGAGGTTTATTGCCTGCTCTGTGACCTTGAGCAACTTACATGACCTTTCTGGGTTTCAGTTTTTATTTATAAAATGAGAATTGTGATAGTGCTTTTCCTTTCAGGGTTATTGACTTAGCAGTGTCTCAGATACAGTAAGCACTCACTAAATGCTAGCTGTATTATTATTAGCATGAGGATATTAGAAACGATGCCAAAATGGGTGGCCTAAAGTGCCACATATAAATTTTACAGTTCATCAGCACTGTCAGTTTAAATCAGTTGTAAGATGGCATTAGAACAAGTTGTCTTTCCTGACTGAAGTGCTAGCGATTATTCCTGTCTCACTCATTTCCTCCCTCTTCCTTTGATAGGCAGGTCCACGAGATCCAGTCTCACATGGGACGCCTGGAGACGGCAGACAGGCAGTCTGTGCACTGTGAGTAATTAACCAGGGAGACCAGAGTCCTTTCTCTGATGACACGGGGCTAATGGGCTGGGTTTCCTGACTGCATTCTGCCTTGGGGGCTTAATGACTCAGCATGGAATGAGTTGTTAGGATGAACAGAAAATCCTTATGGCCAAGTCGCAGAGTTCCCTGATTGTGCCCTCTGGAGTCCCACCAGTTTTTATCCCCCATTACCCTTCCACTCAACCTGACATGGCCCTATGGGAATGGAAGTTCTCTCTCCATCTGTCTTAATCTAATTACCTAGTCTGAAAATTCAGACATGTTGACCTGGAACTGGCCATCTCTCCTGAGCTGAGAACTCTGGCTTCTTAGTAGGATTATTCAAACAACTAGCAATATTAATTAGTTCAGTTCCCACACCACAGTTTCTTTTGAGAAGCATGTGGGTTGTGGTTTGGAGTTTTGTTTCTGTTCCAGGCTAAGGCCCCTTTCTGAGCCAGCCTTGTAGACCTCCACAGAAACTCTTGTCACCTCGCTGCTGCCCAGCTCTCACAGGCCTGTTCTTGTTTCCTCTTTCTCCATGGCTCCCCAGTGTGGCTCTTCCCTTAGCTCTGCACTCTACAGTGCTCCAGTCTAGACCGGCTGTGTTTGCCGCAGGTGCGGAGGCCTGGGAAGGGCTGGTGCCAGGGCTGTCATTTCTTGGTGGGGAAGGCAGCCGCCTGGATGCTTGCTCTGTTTCTGCCCACTGGCCTTTGTTTGCCTTCCCAACAATCTCACTGTTGCCTGATTAGAAATGGAAAGAGGTCATTTTGACAGTCTTATCAAAGGGGATAAGGAAAGTGACTATCACACTCTACCTCTGCGGGCTCTTTCCTGGGTCTTTCCTATTGATATGTGGTCTATTCCGAGGGCTCCAACACATCGTGTCCTACCCGTGCTTTCAGAACACCTCTGGGTGTTTCCATACTAATCTTCCCTTTCCTTTATGCTTCTTAATTTTCTTTTAGCCTCATCTATGAGGAGTTCAGTTGGCAACCTTTTAACTAGGGGTTTATTATCCATATCTGAGACCAATCTCAAATGGAACTATATCAAAAAATTTAGCTTAACAGAGCTATCTGGGCAACCTTTAAATGTTTATTTTCTAAAGGTGGGGAGTTTGTCTTCAGATGTGCCTTCTACTTTAAAAACAGGGCAGCTAACAGCTATGTGTAGCTATGCTTGTCTGTATGCATATAAGGGCACACATGCTTTGAAGCACAGTAGACCTTGAATTGATTAATCTTTGTGTGCGTTGTGCTCCTTTTGAAATACACATGTTTTAGTTTGTGTTATGAAAAAATGTTTATCACTTTTTGCGGGGGCGTGGTTTGAGACAGAGTTTCTCTGTGTAGCCCTGGCTGTCCTGGAATGTGCCTGGAAGTTAGACCAGGCTGGCTTCTAACTCAGTGATCCACCTGCCCCTGCCTCCTGAGTGCTGCTGGGAATAAAGGTGTGTGCCACCACTGCCCGGCTGATTTATCACTCTTAATTTAAGTTCATTATCTCTTTTGCAGAAATTATTTTTTTTTTCTCTCTCTTTTGTGCAGTAGTAGAAAACGAAATACAAGCAAGCATAGACCAGATATTCGGCCATCTAGAGCGTCTGGAGATTTTGTCAAGCAAGGAACCCCCTAATAAAAGACAGAATGCCAAACTGTGAGTGTTGACCCCTGACATGGCTCAGATACTTCAGGCCCATTGAGGCAGCCCTTTCTCCCATTAGAAGCTATAGAATATTCTGAAAATCTGGGTACATGCTAAAGAAATGAAAACTATGCAAAGATAAAGCCTCCCTAAAATACATAGTTCTAGCTAAGCCATACACCCTCCAAATTAAAAGTATGAGGTTTTTGGCTCAGAAGCCTGTGATCATGGTCCCATGTTTTTTTCGGGGGTAATTCTGATCTCTTGTTTGAGGTCATTTTGAAAATAGGCATTTTCTGACCAGACCCCTGGCCACTGAAAGCTTAGTGCTGCTGGGGAGTTGGCTCTGCTGTTTTGTTCCCACTGGCCTCTGTTGGGCTGAAATGTCCTTGTCCCAGTCGCCTCAATCAGTCTGTTTATAATGAAGTACTGATCTGATGTTTGATACTCCACCATGAAATTCAGAGGAAACTACCCTCACCACCACTCCAACCCCTGCTCCTAAAAGTTCCATGAAACTTCATTGCTGCCCTACCTCAAAGCTGCCCTTGGGCTTTTTCCAGGAGTGTGGAATGACCCTCGGAAGGTCAGGAAGGGGTCATCAAGCCTGCTTCCTGTCACCTGTTCGCTGAAGAGTTGGAGTTCTGCAGACATTGAAGTAAAGCTGCTGGAATTGTGTGTGATTCCAGCCACCTTAACCACAAGCTGCTGCTCAACTCAGCATCTTGTTCATCAGTTTAGGCACTGGTGCGGGCACTGTGGGGAGAAGCCAAGCAAGGTCTTCTCCCCGAGTATAAAGCCAGGCTGCCTCAGTGTGCCATGCTCAGTTCCTGGGATGTGATCTCTGTCTCATTAATTCCAGCCGTGTCGACCAACTGAAGTATGATGTCCAGCACCTGCAGACTGCTCTCAGGAACTTCCAGCACCGGCGCTATGCCAGGGAGCAGCAGGAGAGGCAGCGAGAGGAGCTTCTGTCTCGCACCTTCACCACTAACGTAAGCCAGACACTGGAGATTGGCGGGCACCTGACAGGTGTCAGGACCGAGTGCAGGTTACCAGGCATCACCTCTTAGTGGGGTGCTTGAAGCCGACTCAGGAGGAGGAGACCAAGTGGAAATGACAGGGGACTTTGTGCATTGCCACTAACACATGCCCAGATGGGGAATTTCTCTCCAACACAAAAACTTGAAGAGGAAGCAGTTAAATTGGAGGAATGGGGAGAGGCTGGTCCACTGCAGAGGTGGAAGCTTACACTGTTGAGGTGTTTTTGTGATTAGATGGAGACAGACGATTAGAACTTAGCCCATCTATAGAGATGCAGATGATAGCATTTGGAAGCTGCCATGGTGCAGTGTGTGTGTGTGTGTGTGTGTGTGTGTGTGTGTGTGTGTGTGTGTGTGTGTGTGTGTGTGTGTTTCCAGCCTCAGATGCATTAAAAAATTTTTTAAATTTTTCTTTAATTTATTTATTTTTATTTTATGTGCACTGGTGTTTTGCCTCCATGTGTGTCTGTGTGAGGATACCAGATCTGGAGTTATAGACAGTTGTGAGCTGCCATGTGGGTGCTGGGAATTGAACCCAGGTCCTCTGGAAGAACAACCAGTGCTCTTAACCGCTGAGCCATCTCTCCAGGCCGCATTAAAATGTTTTTAACCCTGGTCCGAATGGCACTTTGGAGGACTTCGTTACCAGATGTTTAGTGTTGGATGCTTGGCTTCAGTCTTTGAGGAGCCTGTAGGTTTGCATGTTGGATTTCTTAGAAGCCCCACCCCTGCCCTCTAGCTTCAGTAGGACTGTTCTCTGCATGTGCAGTGTGCTAGCCCTTTTCAGGGCCCTGCGTTCTAACCAGGTGAGGTGGGTTTGGCCTTCATAGTTCGTTGTTTCTAACCCTGCCCTAGAATTCCTGCCTTTGCACTGTGTAACCACACTATAGACAGAAACACCGAGAGTGGACTTGGTGGGTCTCATCTCACACAGACCAGGCTGGGGAGAGGACCAGGTGGCTCCTTCCTGCTGTCCGACAGCCTCCTACCAGACAAGGCCCCTCCTACCACAGAAGCCCTGGTTCTCACCGGCAGGAGGCTAAACCCATCCCTCCATCCCCCTGCCACAGTGCGTTTCTCTGAGTGCCTCAGGACATGGCTTCTGAGTTTTTCCAGAGCAAGTGGGCAGGCAGATTGTGGTGATTAACAGTTCACAAATGCAGCATGCTCTAAGATACTAAATAAGATAGCATACTGAAAGACAGGTCACATTCAGGAGTTTTTAGGCCAGAGATGACCTCTCAGCATTATTGTGTTGGTTGCAAGCCTGATGAGACACCACATTCACTAGGCTACTCAGAAACATTGACTCACCAAATGAAACTTCTTTTTGTCATTTTACCTATTCTAAAAGAGAATACCTAGCACTCATCCCTTTTCAGATGGGATGAATGTAAGGCAGATTTGTGTGTAAAGTCAATAAGTACTAGTCAGGTAAGGGGAGTCATTGATTCTCTTAATCACTAGAATCAGTACTCCGGTACCAAGTAAAACATTTGAGAAAATTACTAAACATGGCTCCTCCCTTTGAGTTCTCATGTTAGCAGGGGAATTGAGCATGTCCACCTGAAGGTGGTTCTGAACTTCAGCAGGAGAACAAATGATGGTCTGTCCTCCTACCAGTGGGAATTGGGGCTGCTGTGGTAGGAGGGGCCTTGCCTGGCAGGAGGCTGCGTCCATCAGACAGCAGGAAGGAGAGCACCTGGTCCTCTCCCCAGCCAAGTCTGGGAGAGTAGAGCCAGCAGGATCGCTCTTAGTGTTTCTGTCTACAGTTGCGCTTACAATTGAGAGTTGGCTGTGCACTCCACCCTGGGATCCTGCCTGTCTGGATGAGTTATTCCATCTCTCTGGGCTTCACTCTTCATCTGCAAAGTGGGGAGAACAGGAAGCCAGCATGCTGAATGAGTTCTAGAGAAACGGACCTGTGAAGTGAAAGGACTTGGGCAGTACTGCTAGGGCATCTCAGTCTGAAAGTCCAGCACCCAAAGGAGCTGCTCAGTAGGTAACCCATTCCAAAGTCTGCAGAGGCCTGACATCTGAGACACTTAGGTCCCAAGCCTTTGGGATAGCCTGTGCTCAGCCTGTAGTCTGCAGCCTTCTTCCCCACCTTTCTTTCTTTTACAGTCTTTTCCTGCCTCCTCAGAAGTGTGTTCCCATCCTGAACACACTTAAGCCTTCAGTAGAAAACACTGCTCCTTTGATCTATAGTCTCAGTCTAGTCAAAGGGATAAGCTGTAGATAAAATAGCTAAAGAACAAAAGCAAGCATGAGCAAGAAGCAGTGGAAAGGAACATTTGCACAGCTAACTTTGGGAGGAGCCAGAGAAACCTTGAGGAGAAATGAATGAGGTCTTGAAGGAATAGCTGGCTTTTCTCAGTGGGGAATGTGGCAGATGCAGAAAGCAACACTGTTGCAGAACTCATTTGGAGAGTGTTAGGCCTGACCCCTCCTCTGCTGTTGTGTAAGCAGACCCACCCACTCACCCCCACCCCCATCCACAGACCTTTGCTTTGCTTTTTCTTGTTTGACTATGATTCTTGCATTGTTCCTCCTGGTTCTACTGGCTTGACCTTGGCCAAAAGGCAGAGTAGTAAGATGTGGCCAGATCCCAGGAGCCGACCAGTGAGGGAAGTTAATCAAGTGCCTGCATTTCTTCCACAGGACTCTGACACCACCATACCCATGGATGAATCCCTGCAGTTTAACTCCTCCCTCCAGAACATTCACCACGGCATGGATGACCTCATTGGAGGCGGGCACAGTATTCTGGAGGGACTGAGGGCCCAGAGACTGACCTTGAAGGTGGGGTCCCTGCTGGAGAATAGAGAGAAGGCCTCTTAGTCTGGCCGTGTCCTGTAGTTCAGTGTCTACATTTGTATTTGCTTCTGTGTCCTTGGCTCATGTAGTGACAGTAAGCCCAAGCCCTTGAGTTTGCAGGTTTGCCAGGGCTACGACGCAACCCAGTGGCGTCTCTTGACAGCTAGGGCTTTGTCCCTTCACTGACTGCATGAGATTGAGGTTGCTACAAAGGGACCAGTGACAGGCTGAGAAGTGCTTCTTTAGATTTGCTCTCATTAGAATGAAGGCATGGCAGTCTTCTAAGGTGGTTTCCCTTTGGAATTCCAGCTGTGGAGTGCGTTATGATAAAGGCTTTGTTTTGTACTGATCCCAGGGGTCATGTCTTCAGGCCACCTAATCCTGCAGTAGATGGCTTCTAGAGCACATGGTGGTCCACATGGGTCTCTTCCTCTCATAGCCACAGGTCCAGAAGCCTGCCCTGTTGGCACTGTTGAGACCCTGACCCCTGGGAGTGGCTTAGAGAAACATACAGATTGATGTCAGTCATGGTGTTTAAGGCTCAGCCTTTTCCTGTATTGGCCCTGATGGCTTGGGGGTATGGGCTCTGTCTGTTATCAAGGTGTGATCCCAGGATAAAGCATTGCCAACCATTGGGCTGTGAGAAAATCACACTTGGTAGTGTGACCATTATCTTAGTTTTTATTGATACACACTGAGCTGTCTGCTCTCTGGGCATCCAGTGTGTTTCTGAGCAGCTCCCACCGTCTTTACCAGGGAGAGGAATAGACAGGCCTGCTGATGCTCACCTCCTGCTGACAGTTACAGTGTTTCCAGTGGCCCAGGGGGTGCTCCCCTTTCAGAACAGCCACTGAAGAAGTCTATACAGATACTGGTTGGCTACCCTGCCTTCTTTGTAGAGAACTGTCCTCTTTTCTGCAGCTCAGGGGAAGTCAAGACTTTTATAAAACACATCCATGTGGCACTAATGCAGACCTCATGGGGTTGAGGTTCTTGATGAGTGCTAGCTTCCTCCTGAAGTCTCACTGAGGAGTTCATGTGCACTGTTAGCAGAGGTGGCTTGCCAGGAAGCCTGTCCAGGTGGTAGGTCTTGAGCCTCGTGATTTCTGACTCACTTTTCTCTATCTCTCCCCTTCTGTTTGTCTTGCCTCTTGATCTCTTCCTACCTGGGCCAGGGAATTTTCTTCCAAAACCATTGGAGAAAAATGGGGGCATGAAAGAACTGGGATAATTGCTTTGATTTTGTGGTTGGAAATAGGGACTTTTTGAAATTCATCGTCACTTTCAGGTGGTTTTGGAAGGTATGGCCACAAGGTAGTCTGCACTTTCACCCTAAGGCAGGATCTTTAATATAGGTCCCATTTCCTCACTGTCATGAAAACATTTTCCAGTCTCCTCTGACAGCTGACTGATTTGACTTGAGACCTCCATTTTATTTCTGTTTGCAGTATAGAGAATCAAATGTAAGGCCTTACACATGCTAACCCATCACTCTACCAGTGGGCCACACCCCAGCCCAAGATTCCTTTGTTTGGTTTTTTGAGACAGTATCTCATTACATAGCACTGGGTGTCCTGGAACTAGCTCTGTAGCCCAGGCTGGCCCCAAACTCACAGAGATCCGCCTGCCTCTGCATCTTGGGTGCCGAGATTAAAGGCGTGTGCCACTGTTCCTGACCCAAGATCCTGCTTGATGAGGCTTGTTGACTTGTTGATCCTTGTCTAGGCAGACCATGGGCTCCGAATTCCTGTCCATGTTACCTTGTGTCTTCATCACCTGGCCTCTTCTCTCAGTTGCTTATTAATGGGTGTTCCTTTTAGAAAATGAATGTGGAACTAGAGGTTAGAGCATTCATATGAGCACAGTGGGCACCATGTGTCTTGACCTGACCCTGTACTTAGTTCTGTTACTTCATAAGAAACGGAATATACATTTAAACACTAGAAAATAATGAGATTATTTTATTATAATTATTATAAACCATGTGGTTTAGGCAATTGATTGTGGCAGCATTTACGTTTATAGAAGAGGGGGTTTATGTCCTTAAGGAGTCTCTTCCTCTTCTTTCTCACCCACCTTTTTTTTTTTTTTTTTTTTTTTTTGAGACAGGGACTCTCTGTATATCCCTGACTAACCTTGGAACTCGCAGAGATCTGCCTGCTTCTGCCTCCCAGCTGCTAGGAATAAATGCATGTACCACCATGCCCAGCCTTTGCTATATTTCTTTGCTGCCTTTCCCACTTCAAACTCCCTTGTAAACACCAGCTATAACTCACTTACTCAGTAGAAGCCCTAGAGATTTCTACTCTACAGAATGAACAGGTCATTATCAAGCTATAGAGCTGAGGAAGTATTTCACATAGCTTTTAAGAATATAAACTATTCTAGAAGTGTCCACAGGAAGATGGCTGTGCACATACCCAGTCGGTGCTGCTCATGTCTGGGAAATGTTTGTCTGTCATCTATTGCAGAAGTTTTCAGAACACTGGTGATGGAACATTTCAGGTAACTGGGCCATTGACAGCAGTCCTGCTTCCAGCTGGGTCAGAGGCTGGGCCCTGGACCCAAGGGCTGTCAGCTGCCTAAGAAGTCGTGGCAGTAGCACAACTGATAAGGCAAGAGTGTTACCAAAGAAGACTTTGCCACATTTGATTATATACTGTGTATAAATGAAAGCAGCCTGAGAATTAAAAACTGCAGAGTTAAGATGGAGCTACTTGAGGGCTGTGAGCCACAGAAACTGCTCAGTGCTGTAGATCCCTATTGTGGCAACTTCCACTTGGAGCTGGTGTGTAGCAGTGTCTTAGACTTGTATGTAAGCCTTCCTCGAAAAGACCTTCTAGCTGCTCCTGCCCACCACTGTCCAGCATCTCATCCACCAGTCTGTGCCCAAGAACAATAGCAATACTTGGCCCCAGGCCCAGCCTGTCTTTTCAGCTGCTTTAAGGTTCATCTTAAAAATCATGGTTTGTAAGAGCAGAAGATCTCTTAGCAGAAGAGAGCTGCTCTTCTGGGGACCCATGTTTGATCCTCACTATCCACACTATGGCTAACCATTTGTAACTCCAATTCCAGGGCAGCCAGTGCCTCTTCTGACCTCTGCAGGCTCCTGCATGCACGTGGTACACACACATAAATGCATGCACACACATAAATGCAGGCATACACACAAATGTGTAAATAAATGTTTTTAAAAGTTGCATGTAGAAATTAGTTGTATTTTCAGAAGAGTAAAAATATTTGAGTAAGACACGTTAAGGTGTGGTTCAGAATACTCAGACTTGTTGAACCCCTTTGCCTTAATTACAAAATAGTGGGAGAAGCAAATGAGGAACAAAACAGGACACCATTAGATATGAATGGCCAGTAGACAGCCTCTGATCCTGGCAAGCTTTGAATAATCTGGTCTGCTTTGAGTCTGCCTTCTGTTCGCCTCACACTCTGCCACAGGATCTTCCACTCATAGTGGCTCTGCCCGCAGTAGCTCTCCAAGTGTTAACTTGTATGCACATGCTGTGTGCACACTTGTATATTTGAAGGATAGGAAAGGCTGGATGTAGTAGCACATGCCTAGAATTCTAGCATGGGAGAGGGTGAAGGAGGAGGAGGACGACGAGTTCTAGACCAGCCTGGGTTACTTAGGGAGACCCTATCTTGAAAACAAGCAAAAATAATATTAAAAGATAGACGCAGCAGATTGGTGTAACTAATCTTTACCACTCTTACATATTTTTGCTTTTTTTTCCTCTCTAGTTTTCTGAGCTTGTTTGTTCCCTTCTGAGCTACTTTGCCTCTAAAAATTTAATGAGTTTCAGAAAAGACACTTGTATGATTAGTAGAGGGCTGTGTCTGCTTGTATACATATGCAAAACAGTTGTCATGAGTTGACTTAGGTATGAAAAAGTAGTATAAAAAGCCGAGAGGTGACACGTGTAGAGGTTTGCAGGTGGGTCTCTGAGTTCCAGGCCAGAGTGAGTTCCAGGACAGCCAGAGCTACACAGAGAAACCCTGTCTCAAAAAGCCAAAAAAAAAAAAAAAAACAACTTGGAAAGGCTGGGTAGAGTCCAGTGTCCATTGGTGTACTAGCTGCTGAACTTCATATAGCTCTGTTCATACTGTGGTGTGTGGCCTCTTCCTCTGTTTTCAAGGTCCTTTCACGTGTGCATCTATACGGTAATGTGTTTATCTATCCTCTGGTTGATGCATAACCAGGATTGCTTCTTGGTTTTCAGATCTTCTTCTAATCTTCTGTTTTCTTTTCTTTTGTTTTTTTGTTTTGTTTTGTTTTGTTGTTTTTTTCGAGACAGGGTTTCTCTGTGTAGCTTTGCGCCTTTCCTTGAACTTACTCTAGCCCAGTCTGGCCTCGAACTCACAGAGATCTGCCTGGCTCTGCCCTGCCAGGATTAAAGGCCTGCACCACTTCTTTTGTCTTTTTAAAGAGGCTTTCTTGTAGTCTCAGCTTTGTGTTTATTTGGAGATCCATCTTGAATGAGTGTGTTGCTCGAATGTGCAGGTGTCCTCCAGGACTCTGACGGTGCCTCTCACTGAATCTGGAGCTAGAGTGGTGGCCAGCAAACCCCTGCAATCCTCCTGTCTCAGCCCCCACAGCACTGGGGGTTGTAGGCTAACCACATCTGGTTTTTTACATGGATTCTGGGGTTCCAAACTCAGGTCCTGTGCTGGTGCCATTTCCCAGCCCCATTTTTGTATGTAATGTGAACCAAGGCTCACTTTTTTTTTTTAACATACATGAAATGTACATATGAACACATATGATGCACATACATGATATGTAGCCAGTTCCAGCACCATTTCTGGAAAAGGCTTCTTTTTCTTTGACCCAATACATGGTGGCGAAGTGACTCTATTTCTCTCGTCTCTGGCATGACCAAGAAGACAGTGTCTATTCGTAAAACCCTGGCTTGTGGTGCTCTTTAACCAACCACTCTTGGCACCGAGGTTGATCTTTGTTTTTCTTTCTCTTCTCACCTCCCCAGGGGACTCAGAAGAAGATCCTTGACATTGCCAACATGCTCGGCCTGTCCAACACAGTGATGAGGCTAATTGAGAAGCGGGCCTTCCAGGACAAGTACTTCATGATTGGTGGGATGCTGCTCACCTGTGCAGTTATGTTCCTTGTAGTCCAGTACCTGACATGAGCCAGCTGCACCCAGCACGGAGAGTCTTCCCACTGTGTGCACGTGTGCAAGCAAGCAGTGGGCTGGGAGGCCACCTTTTGAAATGTATGCCTTAACTGTGAAGACACCCCTCCCCCCAGGACTAATTGTGGCTTAGTATCAAACCTGCTTTGTTTTCTGTGACGTCTGGGGAGTGGGAACTAGGGTCACCAAGATGTGTGGTGCTTAGGAAGTGAGTGGGTCAAGACCCTGTTATCTGGTTCTCACTGGGGGAGGGAGGGGTGGATTTTGTGGTTTATCTACACAGCTGATGCTCGCCCTGGAAACCCTGCATGGTGAGGCTTGCACACAGGACTGTCCACACTGTTCACTCCTTGTCATTGCCCAGTCTTTGTGCTCCTGATGGGTTGGCTGGAGCACACGTGAGAAGATGAGGAAAGAAGACTTTCCTTGTGCCTTCTGGGGAAGATCAGTTCTCACATCCTTCCAGCCACTACCCAGTCCCAACCCTAAGAAAACATGACATGTAGGTGACTAATGGCTCACACCAGCACCCTTCCCTGGAAGCAGCTACTCCAGGGAAGCAGAGACATTGGAGCTGTTGCTGATAACGTAAGCTTTTCCATGCCAGTTGCTGGGTGTTTGTCCTTCCTGAGGTGAGGCCAGCAGTGTTCCTGGGGAGTATTCAGTCTGGACACGAGTCCTGAGTCACCAGTGTTTTTCCAGTTAATACAGCAATTGGCAGTTCAGAGACGGTAGCTTGGCACCTCCACCCAGGTTTCAGTGGGTGGGCCTTTGCCCCTTTGCAAGTAGCCATGAGCAAAGGGTGATTTTGTAAGTTGTAGACTCATCTAGTTCTGCCATCTCAAATTCTTTGACTGTCTCTCCTCTCCCTTGAAATATATTAGTAATATATCCATCAGCTAAGCCTCCATTTTCCCCAGCCCTGGTAGGCCACCCTGGAGATGGTCCCTGGTAAGTATGTCTTTATGAGACTGTTTCAGGGACCAGGCCATTTTTACTTTGCCCAGCCATGATTAAGGCTATATTAATACCTGGTGTATTGCAGAATTTGTTTGAAAATTAATGTATCTTAAGCAAGCTTATTGTGATTAATCTCTGAAATTGCCCGAAAGATCTAGAGAATTTATTTGTTCATCAGTCACAGGTCCTGCCCACCCAAACAATTCTAAATTTAGTAGCCTCATGGTGGGACAGTCGGACACTCAGAATTCCTCAGAACTGGAAAGCTGGTCAGTATTAATCCTACTTTTGATTCCCTCCCTATCTTTGCTTGAGTGTCCTCTGTGCTGTCTCCCTCTTCACAGCGTGTGTCACATACCACCTCTCTCCTGTGAGGAGCAGTGTTGGACATCTGTGGCATCCCTTTGGGGAACTTTCTCAGCTGTCACACTTTAAACCTGAGTTTCCTGGGTACTAATTTAGATTCTGGTCAGATTCAGTGTCTGTTGCTCCTTCCCCTCTAGGCTAAATGGGCCCTAGATGGCCAGGAAGTAGGAATCTGTGACTCTTCTAGGAAGAGTTGATAGTGCAGAGTGAAAACTATGGCCCTAGAGGAGAGAGGCGGCTTGCAGCATCTTCAGACCTAGAGCTCACTTTGGGGAGGCAGATTGGGCATGATGAGCTCCTGGCTGACTGTAAAGTGGAGCTTGGACTGCACAGACCTGACTGCCCTATCCCCTGGGCACCCGATGATCCTACCAGACAGCATGCTTTGGAAGATGTGCAAGCTGAAACTGAGCCATTTGGACTCAAAATGTGGGCAGCAAAAGCCCCCTGCCCCCTGCCCTTCAGTGATTGTTGGGACAGTGTTTTGTAGTATATAATGGTGTTCTGCACTTGCCTTGGTAGTGGTCCTTGACTTTGAACTTGATGTTCCACCTTCACAGCCACGTCTCCCTACTTGTAATGGGGTGGGCATCTTTACTACCTGGGGGTAGGGAATAGTAGCCAGAGGATCTGGGCTCTGAGGGCACTGAGCTGGCTGCCTCGTGACTGTTCTCCCTTGCATTCCCATTCAGTACCTTCTGAGATTACCCCGACCTGATTGGGTGCAACTGTTGTCATTCTTCACCAGTGGGAAGGGACCTGAGCCTGAATGGGTTGCCCTCTAGTGGGGGTGGAGCTGAGTTCTTAGTAGAGCTGGCCAGAAGTTCCAGCCTAGCAGGTGGTGTGTGCACCTTGGTGCAGCAGTCTGAGTGGTGTGATTTGAAACAGGTAGGGTGCCTGTGTTAAATAGATGTATACTCCAGGTATGGCCACTTTAAGGAAAGCTAAACCAAGGGACCAAGTAAATAGTCTAGGTTTTACAGGTTTCACTCCAGACTTTTCTCAAAAGCCAGCTTGCCCTGCTGAATTTAAATAGCTTTGATTGGCAAATTATAGTTACACCCCTTGTTTTCAGAACACATCAGCTGAATAAAGTTGAGGTTTATTTAGAAAACTTTAAAAAAGCACTTGGCATTCTTTGTCACAACTACCCTTTGGTTTCCAGGCTAGAAGCTTTCATATACAATGTTTCAGAGCTGCAGGCGGGGAGGCTGCCTCAGAAGCCGCTGGGGGAAAGACAAGTATAGGCTCTTGGGATATCCTCAGACCTCCTGTCTGATTCAGAACAATACTTAGGGTTCCCAGGTAATCCTGCCGTGTGTGTTGGAGCCGCTGCCTCCTAGACAGAAAGCTGTTCTCTTAAAATGAAAGCACTGGAAAGAGTCTGGAACCAGATCTGCATATATGTGTAAAGAGCAAGACCCGGCAAGTCCCAAATGAAGTCTTACAGTAAGTAGCCCTCCTTCATCCAGAAGAGTTGAGGACTCTGAGAAACAACTAGGGACTGTTACTCTGACATAGTGCTTGCCCAGCATTTACACTACACTGGGCTCCATCCTCACGACTGCAGGGGCACATAATGGAAAACACATGAAAGCAGAGGCATGTCAAATCAGGAAAACTGATTGTCAAACACAGGTCATAAAGCCCAGTGGATGCACTCTGGGAGTCCCTCCTGTAACTTGGAACAGCAGAGGAGCATGTTACTGGCTAAATAGGATGGGGTGTCACTTCAGGCCAAGACCAGAGCCTCCATACTGCCAGCTTCCCCATAGCCTTTTGTGTAGGCGAGACAAACTTCTTCACTTTCAGTCTTCCCAGCCCTCTGAGTCAGATCCTGTGTTATACCTGCTGTGCAGATAGTGGACTAAGCCTTCGTGCTTTCCAGAGAAGCTGGTTCCTTGTGTGGCTATAGTCTGAACGCTCCCAACCTGCCTCTTGCATCCACTGAAGATGCTCTACTTGGAACAGGCAACAAGGCCACCTGCTAGTACCTAGTAAAGAATGTCATACCAGGCGTTATATGGCCAATTCTGGTTCTAAACTGAAAGGGAATGTCCTAAACTGAATGCATGAATGTCTCCAAGAGCAAGGAGGTGCCATACCCACACCTAGCCACTAGGGGGTGACAGTTCTCCACCCTTAGCTGGTCTGCCCAGAGGCCCTTGCTTGATGCATTAAACAGTTTTAGTCTGGTTCCCTTAATGTCTCTGCAGAGCATGGCTCTGGGCTGCTTTAGAACTTTTGCTTTAGAGTCCAGCAAAAGATGACCAAGTTTCAAGACTCCCTCTTCTCCAGTCCTTCCCTCAGCACTCTGACATGCTACAAACAGGCCCGGAAAACATTTCTCAAAGTGTTACTACTCTCCTGCTCTTTCCTCATGTGGCACATAAGAGGAGGAGGAAACAGGATGGGAAAGGTTTGAGGATCTGGCAGGGGCTTGTCCCCTCCAATGCAGTAGAACCTGTGTTGCAACGCACCCCCCCCCACACACACACACACACTTCATTCCTGTGTTCTAGCAGCTGGCTCTCTACATCATGATCTCCTGGGAGCTTTTAGAACTATCTCTCTGAAGGCATTTTACTTTGACTCGTTTATTGGTGTGGATGCAGACTGGACATTGTGTGTTGCCCAGATGACTATCATGTGAAGGTATGACTTCAACTGTAGACAGGAATGGTATTCCAAGACTAGATGGTCCCCATGGACTTTACTCTGTCTCCATTGATTCCACTACATTAGACCAGCAGGAAGGCCCTAAAATGGCCCCTGGCCAGTGGTGTCTGTCATTAACTGATGCCACTCTGTCTCTGAGTAAAGTACTTCAGGGTGAGAGGCCAGCCCTTCCTGTTTCTCCAGCACACTTCCCAACCCTTCTGCTACTCCACCCCTGGCTCAGGACTCCATGCTCCCTGCCTGCCGGGCTTTCTGGGGAATGGTTGTTCCTCACTTCAGGGTGGTCGTCTGCACATAGTAGGTGGTCACATGGTCACAAGCTATTATTGGTGAAATTATTAAGGCCACTCCACGTAGTTAAAAGGGAGGTTTATTTTGTGGGGTAACTCACAAATGAAGGGATAGGCTGCAGGGTCTGGGGAAGACATAGCACAGTCCGGCGGTGTTCTCTGGAGAACTCTGTTCGGTCTACCTCTAGCGTCCAGGGTCCAGGAACCAAGAGAGGGCAGCGCATCCAGATCTCGGGTCTTCAGGGCCCTCTCTTGGCCCCACCTTGTAGGCATGATAGTTACCGAAGCCTCAATGGGGGTTGGAACTTCCAGACCAAAGCTGGAATGGCTACCCACTACAAGCTATCAAGTTAGTGGCCTGCAGGAGGCGCCTCAGCCCAGCCCAGACCATACAGGTAATAGATTTTAGAGTTCAGTGTTCAGCAAAGCTGCTGTGGCCACACCCAGAAGCCAAAAAAAAAAAAAAAAAATCCATGGCCACGTGTGCTGTGGCCCACATGCTCATAGACCCTGAACAATAGCAATGGATAAAGTAAGAGGGAGAAGGGCATGGGCCACATGAAGAAAAAAATGTGCCAACCAGGCTCGAGAGAATTCAGGAAGTAGAAAGGTCTGCAGGAGCTAGCCCTCCCAGGCCCTGGTAAATAGTGGCTGGTCATCCCTGATAACTAAAGGCAGTCAGTGATGACCAATTCAGGGTGCCCGAGTGAGGGGCTGACGCTGGCCGTTCCAGGGGTGGTGTCTTGGAGACCCTCCTTCCAGCCGCTAGTTGACAGTTCTGCTGGAGAGCTGCTAAGGTCACTCCAGGAGGGAGCAGGGCAGCCACAGTGACAGCGCTCAGTGCTTGCCACTAAAGTGGTGCTTCTCAGCCTTGGCTACTTCCTGGAGGTTTTTAAAAGTCTGGGTTTCAGGGTCAGCCCAGGAGGCTCTGAGCTACCTTGGTATGGGGCAGAGACTGGGTTTTTGGAACTTTCCAAGGACTCTCGTGGGAAGGCTCATAGTGCCTTCCGGGTGTGGTACCCTACTAATGCTGTTTAGCTTCAGAGATTCACCTTGTTATCCAAAACAGCCAGCGGAAAAGGCAGCACACAGAGTCCCCACAACTGAGGGACAATGGCTCCGAGTAGCTGTCTCAGTGGGGCATTAACCAGGAAGGGCTTTTCCAGAGATGGAGGTGATGGGCAATGACTGGGTTTTGGAGGAGAGGAAGAGTCAAAGGGACTGAGGGGGACAGGGTGACCTGTGGTGTTAATACGCTCTAACTACCCTTTGGCTGCAGGAGGCAATGAGACAGCTGCTGGGAGGGTTGATGTCCATCACCACATGGCGTACAGCTGCCTGGAGCCAGCTGGGAGCCCATAAAGAACTGGTTGCCCTTCAGAGGCAGAGAAGCTTGAGGCACAGCTGAATGCTTGGTGGGTGTTAACCCATCAGAGACACAGGCGTGGGCTGTACAGGAGGAAATTGATTCCTCTCTCATTTCCAACATGGCAACAGGTGCCACGTGGGCAGAGCCCACCCTGGAGCCTTCCCACATTTCTGTTAAGAGCAGTTTTCTGTTTCCAGGACATGTGCAGAGACACAGGTGAGAGGCAGGAGGTAGGTGCCTCTGTAGGAGGGCAGAGCAATCTCAGAGCTCCAGGACCTCTGCAGATGTGAACTTGGGGGTATAATGCTTTAGAGATGAAGCCTCAGTCTCCTGGTGCTGGTAAGTTCCTGGTGCTACAAATGGAGTGTGCACCCAGTGTCCATAACAATTTAGTACAAGAAGCCATTTCTCTTTCCATTTGTGGCAGAAGGCAGCCTTTTACCACAGTTTAGGGACTCTGGAAGACCCTCAGCTGGCAGCCCCAAAATGGAGAATGGGAGCTGTGACCACCTTTTGGATAAGACATTGGAATAAAAGTGTTAGGGTCATTTTTACCGGCTCTTGGTTAAAGATGTGGATGCCTGGGAAACTCACCAAAGGGAGGAAAAATAGCTCAAGCCCAGCATCACCAGCTTTTAGCATAAAGTAAACCTAAGAGGCTGAAGAGTTGGCTCCTCAGTAAAGAGTACTTGCTGCTCTTGAAAAGGACCCAGGATCAGGTCTCAGAACCCACATTGCTCCTCACAACCCTCTGAAGCTCCAGTTCAGGGAATCTAATGCCCTCTTCCAGCTTCCAGCTTCACACACACACACACACACACACACACACACACACACACACACACAGAGAGAGAGAGAGAGAGAGAGAGAGAGAGAGAGAGAGAGAGAGAGAGAGAGAGAGCAAAACAAAGCCCAGTAAATTTAAGCTGTGAGTTGTAAGTCATGCCTGGAATCTCAGCTCTTGGGAGGCAGGGGCAGAAAGGCCATCAGTGAATCTGTAATCAGTCTGGGCTGCCAAGAGAGAACAATCTAAAAAAAAAAAAATGGGCCAATTAAATAAATAGATATCATAGGGCAGCAATTAGATGCCAGAAACATGGGGCAGGGGTCATAGATCCCAAGAAATGAGTAGGCAAGTAGGCTCCATGGAGGGGTTGCTGCAGCAGGCTGG